CCCCAAAACCCCAAAACCCCAAAACCCCAAAACCCCAAAATACTAAAAATAGAAAAGTTTAGTTGAATAGAATTTATCAATTATTTGGCTCGTAAAATGCATAATCGAACTTTACCTAAGTCTATTGATTGGGAATGGCGCCTAAATTTTATTGTTGATTTAATGGTAAAGGTTATTGTTGTTAGTGCTATTATTAAACCACTGGAGGAGGTTGCAAATTTTATTAAACAAAGGGAGGTTACTATTGCATTTGTTGCATTTATTGCTACTATTAAGGGTATTAATTTGGAAGAGCACCCGGCTAGTAGTTGTAGTTGTTTTGCATGTATTAAGGAAAATTCTACTACATTTAATTGTAGACTGGCACTTGTTGCTAGCCTTGATATGCAGGCCCCATTTAACCAACTCCTGGAATATTCTATTATCCTGAGTATGGAACCTATTGCCCTATTGGTTAAACCAATGGAGGAATCATTCCTTGAGGTGGTATTTGTCCGGGAGGAATCATTCCCATAGGAGGTGGGAACTGTCCTTATGGAGGAGGAAACTATCCTGGGGCAGCGAAATTCTAGAATCCCATTGGCTATAGCATATTTTACTAAAACCCTACTTGCATTTGATTATAGAGTGGTTGGGCAATCATTCCTGGAGGTAAATAATTTACTTAACCCTGATTATGGACTGGTGCTTAATGTAAAAAAGAGTGATTACTCTAAATTGCTTCGTTAAAGAACTCAAATTCAATACTATTAAAGGAGCATTAACCAAAGTTGATAGACTTACTTTACTACGCCTGCTTCTTTGCCTTTATAAGCAATTTTTACAGCTTCAGTAAATTTCCCCTTTGATTTAACTTCATCTAAGAAAAAGATTGTATCTCCTACAAGATCATTTTTCGTCATGTCCTCATCATAAACTGCGAGCTTCAATTCTTCCTCAAAACCCTGAAGCTTAAATTTTAGAGTTTCCTCCCATCTAGGATTCTTTCCAGCATTTCTATGTGTCTTAGTTTACATTTCTTATTGATGGATTGTGATCTTTACAAATGGATCCATTTTACCAAAGGTTTCTGTGTCATGAGTTAATCTTGCATCTTTGCACTTAATGAAAAGTGTTCCTGGAGATCTTTACATTTCTAATTTATTATTAAAACTATACTTTACTTCTCTTATCTTAATTTTAACTAAAATTAATAGACTCTTGGGGTTTTGGGGTTTTGGGG